TTTGCCAGCCAGACCTTCTGTAAAGGTAATTGACCCCCTTCCCCCTTCCCATTCGAACTCCGTTTTTCTTACAGTGGAACAGGAGAAGGAAAAAAATTCCCTCCTGGGATTTATAGCCTATAACACTTTCACAGTTTCATAACAGTTTCTCTCAGAGCTAGTAAGGAACTTGGAAAAATGAAGTGTTATGAGGATTGTATTTTTCAGTGGACTCCTATACTCTTTATCCATTTCTGCATTAGAAACGTACATGAATCAAATATCTAAGGAAGCTAGCTTAAGAAGACACAAATATTTAAGGAAACTAGTACTGAGTAGCTTATTGCTTTTTCATCTTGAAACATGATATTGGCAGTTATTAACCACTTCAGGGTCTTGGGTGACCAGTCTTCAAGCTTTTCCTTTTAGGCCTACCATAGCAATATGGCTTAGAGAAGCTTTCGAGTGCTCTAGTTGGAGCTGAATATATCATGTGGGGGATTATTTTGAAGCTTTTCAGTTAGCTTTAATTGCAAAATAAAACTGATCTCTCTCCCATTTTTTCAACTGTTCATGATTCTGAAGAAGCATTTTTATCCAAAACCTCCATAGATGAAGACAGCATTCAGCACTGGGAATCCATACTGAGATACGGGGAACAGGATTTATATTTCAAAAGACCAAGAAGACTTTCTATTGCCTTCAGTGTTCCAGGTGAGTGGCTGGAAGACCATCTGGCAAAACTCTGCCAGACTCTTAAACTAACACAAAGTTGAAGGTCTGGCACCAGCATTTGTGCTAAATTTCAAACTAACAGAAATTTGGGCAGATATTGAACATGACTTTTATAACGTACTTGGCATCCAACATCAAAATATTTCCAACACCATCTCAAGCAAGATTTTTATATAATTTATTCAGAAAAAGGAAAGAGACTATCTTCTATCTTGGGAACTAATACCAGTATTTGTGTGATTATTAAAAAAAGTGAATATATAATTTTAAATAACTTCCCATGTGAAAGCTGTTTTGCTTTGGTTCTTGAATTATGCTCTATAACACATTTTTGTCGACAAGTCATAGGTAAGTACAGAAAAATTACAGCCCTTAAAAACCATTTGTTGAAAATCCATCCAAATTTGGGCCTTTTTGGCCTTAAGGTTCTGATCAGATAGTTGACATTACTGTATTTCTTTACAGTTATATGTAAGAGGATAATATATTTTCATGCTTATTAAAAACTTGCTGGCAAAAATGTTAGTAAGATGTTTATTGAAAATACTCCAAAATCATACTGCAGGAGACAATGCTTACAGACCTCACCTAGTTTCCAACAAGTCAATAACAAATTTTTCCACTGAATCCTAATTCTGTTTAGTAATCTAAAATAATAATTTTGACATATCAAAACATAGAGTCAAGAAGGGAAACCAAATACTGCAGACCATGACTATTAAGAAGCTCAGAGACAGCAAAAGACCCAGCTATAGCAGAATCTATATGCAAACAGCAAGGTTGCTATAACATTTGGTAATATGGGAAACATTCAGCACATTATTATTTCAGTCTTTACTTACACAAACACAGTTCAAAAGAGTGCACTGCAAAATTACATTCTGTGGTTTCCTATAAGGCCTGGTTGATCTTACATAAAACAACGATATGAGGAAACTAAACTAGGTCTTATGATTTACAATAATCTTTCCGTGTTATTTATTACACTGAATTACTTGGGATATATAGTGTATATATTTAATATTAATCTCTGGATTGTTTTGAGTTAGCATATTATTTCTTAAATTCTATTCCCTTTCTTTTCTTCTGTTTATGGGGTGCAATAAATTCTTATTGTTTCTCTTTCTTCATTTTACAAGGTAAAAACTGTTCCTAATGCCTCATCTTACAGGTATAAAAATGGAAGTTGATGGAGTACACGCTTATGATTTATACAACTTCACCCAGAACTGTCTGTGTATTTAACCCCATAGTGAGACTATAATGTCTCTGTAACTACTATTTACCATTTATTTCTGAATAAAATTATTGGATACTATAAATAAATACATAACTTTGGCAGAGGGGAAACCATTACAAGAGAAAAAACCAAGAAAGGCTAGAAACAGATCCATTACTAACATGCAATAGTCAACCTATCTGAAATCAGACTTTAGACTTGAGTATATGTTGCACACTGGTTTTGTCTTGGTGCTTTTCCTCTCTGAGCATTGGCCTGAGAGAACAAAGATGATCCCATAACTAATTACTACCTGCATACAAACCTTTCTCTTTTAAGCTTTCAAATACTGGACTGCCAGTGGGGGAAATCTCAAAGCCTGTAAATTTTCTAACTAGTAGTGGGGTGGGAAAGCACCAGGAGACTTCAGTTCAAGTAGGAAACTATTAAGCTGTTAATCAAAGCACTTGAGATATACAACTGTATATATCTCTGTGTGTAGTTGCTGACTCCAGAGAACTTAGCTTCGATGAAATTACTTCACCTCTCCACTGAAGAAGAGACTTCAAAAAATACTAGTAAACTTCTCTCAGCAGTAGGAATACACATCATCATCTTTGTCATCATAATTACAGTTAGTCTGGGAATCAGAAGCTACAGAAAAAACCCAACAGATCGGTAGGAGCAAAAAGTCTAGGTTTCAGATGGATCACTATCGGTGTGTGCAAAGTTACATGGCGTGATTATCTCCAACATGAAAGTGAATGCAATTACTAGAAAGTTCTTATGAGAAAAAAAGAAGTTATGAAATTAAATATCAAAAAGACACAAAGATGACATACATCTTTGTGTCTTTGTGTCAACTTTGAAAGTCCATGCACTTCCAAAACTCAAGTAACATACTATACAAATGAAAATTCACAATTCATTTCTTCTTCTTTCATTTTAATTGTTTCATTTTTATATTGTCTCCTGAAAAACAAACATCCATTGACCTGTACTTTCCACTTCAAGAATAGGAATGAAGAGAGATAGATGTCTCTTAGTGGCATCAGTCCATATGCATTCAATGACTACCATGTAATGAATCCCTTAGACAGAATCAGGTCATTTGGAAGGAACCACGGGAAAACACACCAACGTCCTACTCAGTGTAGGCTATTTAGATCCATACGCTGAAGACAGTGGCTAGTCAAGTGTCAAGTATGTCCTAGTTACAGGGGCCAGGACAAGTTTATCACTATGTGGGCATAACCAAAACTGTGTATTCTACACCCTCTGTGTAATTTCTGATGGACTGTTAATAATGGATCATTTTTAGCAGGTGACCACGGCACACCTGACACTTCAGGCTACAAGCTGGGTGTTAAACAAACCTGCAAGGCAGAGGAGTGTTTCTTTGTCTTCACACCAATGACTCAGCTGTGACAACCTCCCTCTGGGGAGGCATTTGCACCTTCATGCCCAGTCTGAGGGCTCATCTTTGCTAATGGGCTGTAATGGACTGTCATAATAGGCAGCTGCAAGGACCTGGACCATCAAAGGTTCCAAAAATATCCCATGACTCACAGAGTTAAACCAAACGTTGAAAAATTCTCTGCCCTGGGGGAGGTACTGGGCATTCCCACCTGAACCTGAGCATATATCATCTTCAGGTTTTGGGACTTCTGGTACCACTTGTCAGATCCAGAGGAGGACCAGAACTTCCATGAGACTGCGACTGCCCCTCTCAACAAGACTGTGATCATTACCTCAACAGAACTGCCACCATCATCTGAACCAACAAGTTTCCTTTCCTTTTACTTTGCATCCAGGGGGGTCACATGGTTCTCAGCACAGGGGCTAACAAACACCATTCTGTTTTTGACCCAGGGTGCTGGGTTATACATCTATATTTATAGATTAAAACCAGTTTTCTCTGTATCATTTTATTTATTGTAATATTTTTTAGTGAATTTTAACTCTGACTTGCAATCTCTCAAGTCGTGTTCATTTCATTTAAACATTTAAACCAGCACAAAGTATCTCCTTGAATAGATATTCCACAAGTATAATGGCAACCTGTTGCAGCATACTCTCAGGGCAAAGGTTTTCCACTTGCACTGAGATGGGTTTCTCATGCTCTAACTTCTGGTCACAGCCTCTTGTCCTTCCACTGCTCCTCTGAGAAGAATGCTCCTCTGTCTCCTCAACACTCTCTGGTAAGGTAGTCATAGGGTAGTAAGTTTCCCTCCCCCCCCCAGCATTAACTTTTTCTTCTTCGGACAGAATCACAGAATCACTGAATCAACTAGGTTGGAAAAGACCTCTGAGATCATCGAGTCCAACCTTGTCTACTAGACCGTGGCACTAAGTGCCGTGTCCAGTTTATTCTTAAATACCTCCAGGGACGGAGACTCCACCACCTCCCTGGGCAGCCCATTCCAATGACAAATCACTCTCGGTAAAGAACTTCTTCCTAATGTCCAACGTAAATACCCCCTGGCACAGCTTAAGACTGTGCCCTTTTGTCATATTGCTGGTTGCCTGGGAGAAGGACGGAACATGTCTCTCAGTCTCTCCTTGCACATCATGTGCTAGAGCCCCCATAACATCAAAATGTCCCTCTGATGCACTCTCTCCACTATGTCTATGTCTTTTCTGTGTTGGGGAGCCCACAACTGGAGACACCACTTTTGAGGTCATGGCAAAAGTGCCAGATAGAAGGAAAAAAACACCATTTCCCTCCAGCTGCTGTCTACCCTCCTCCCAGAGCAGCCCATGGTGCCTTCTTTGCCAGAAAGGCACACTGGTGACTGTGCAACTGACTGCCCACAAGGGCCTTGGGTCCTTTCCTACAAAGCTGCTTCCTAGTCAGCCAGTGCTGCCCTGTCCTGTTGCATGGGCATATTCCATCCCATATGCAGAACTTTGCCTTTGGTGATTTTCATGTGGTTCCTGACAGCCCATTTCTGGAGCCTGACTAAGTTCCCCAAAAGGCAACCCTGCACTTCAGTGTACTGAAGACCCTTCCCAATACATAGATCTCCAAACTGGCGAGGGATGCACTTGATCCAGTCATCCAAGCTGTTACTGAGAACAAGCATGGTTGGCATCAATTTCTGGCTCAAGTCACTCATAACCAGCTTTGTACCAGTGATCACTACCCTTAGAGCTCAATGGTTCAGAAAATTTTCCACCCATCTTACTGTCTATTTATCCAGTCCATGTTTCACCAGTTTGGCTGTAAAAACACTAGGTACAATGCTAAAGGCCTTGATACATTCAAGGTATACAACATCCACTGCCCTACTCTTATGGGCTTAGCCAGTCATCTCAACACAAAATAGAAGGCAGATGACCCTCCCAGACCACATAGCACAGAGGATATATAAGTAACCTAAAGAAAGTTATCACACATGAGAAGAAGCCAGAGTACACAGGAAGGAGTTGCTCAGCAACTGTTTCCAACTGGTGCAAATTAGAAAATAAAAGTCCAGAAATCTGGGAAGCCATAGCCAGTTCCTTGCTGGCCTTGCATTTTCTTCCGAAATTTTGTTGGGAAGCCTCTCTGTTCCCAAGGGTTCTGCTCATTGCAAACATGATGTCTCCTGAAATTCAAAAAAAGGAGTTAGGATTTTAATTTTCTCTGACAGTGTGGCAACTTCTCATACAAATGCAACAACAATGGAAGCTCAGAAGTGCAAGATTCCTAGGGTATACATCCTCATCACTTATTGACTGAAACAAATGTATTTCTTCACTAAAATACACAAAGCTTGTTGAAAATTTTGCCGTGCTAAGCTGCATTTCTTTTCAATGTCATATGAAAAAGGTTCCAAGGCAAAAATGTTTCTCTGCTGTCATGCAATTCATCATAGGACTAACTTACATTCACATCTCCTGATGAGCTCCTGAGTTTTTTTTTTCAGTTACACTGCTCCAGAATGAAGCTATCACAGAAAGAGGAGAGGAAAGCTTCACTGGGACTTCTCTGTATATATGTGATATTGCTGAAAGTATATTCATGCTAATTGCTTATGAAGATTTTTAAAACAAAAAAATTAGTGAAATATTAGGAGAGATAAATGGATTTTGAAACTCATCCATACACACTGCAAGCAATGCTAAGTTTTGTATAACACTACGCAAGGATGTACCATATGTCAAATTGCAGAACAGGCTCTGACGCCACCAGTTTCATACAATTTAATAACAAGCATTTAAACTTCAACCATTTCTAGTGACTCAAGTGACAAGATGTTTGAGTATCTGACTGTCTCCTCTGTTTTCTACAGCCAGCCACCTCAAGATGAAAATTGCCGTAATACTTAAGATTTATCTGCCGATTATTTTTTTGTACCAGCAGTGTTAGCAGCAGTCCCAATGTCGTGCCGAATGAGTTTTCTTTTTAGCCTTGATTTTCAGGAGTTCATATATTTTTTTCTAAGCATATGTAATACCTAAAGCTATTTAGTATATTTCAAAGAAGCAGGAGGGAAGCAAGAGAAGAAAAAACTCCACCTCTTAAAAGGCTCAGGCCGTTCTGGAATTGAGAGTTTCACAAAACCCAAAGAAAACTGAATTTGTACAAAACAGGGAAACTTGCTTATTTCCATCTAATGGCAACATTTCAAAAAAACCCCTAATACTTGCAATTATGGTCCATAAGGACCATAAATCATTCCAAGTATTTTATTTCAGGAATAGATGGTTTTAACTAACAAGGAATGTAGCGTTGAGGAAATGCTCCTATTCATCTACACAGTTTTTAACTGAGAGAGGAATGTGGTACTGAGGATATGTTCCTAATTAATCTAGACAGTTCTAGATCACAATTATCTCTTGAAGCTTTGATGTCTATCAATTGCTACTTAGAATGATAGGAGAGAGGTCACTAGATTTTACTAGTCTTTATTCTTTTGGTTTTTAAAAAAAATAAGAGAATGGGAAGAAAACAAAAATATCAGCATAATTTTTTTGGGAGAGAAATTAAAAAAAAAAAACCAAACAAACCTCAAACCAAACCCTAAAACGATTTACATGTTCAAGAATAAAAGTTGTCAGTAAAAATGCCAACAGTTTGTAAAACAGAGAAAAGTCATGGTTGTTGTAGGAAACTGTAAATTTGAATCCTTCCCTTTGTGTGTTCCAAAGCAGATGTTCAGCTGCTATAAATCAGCAAAACTCCCTGACCCTTAATTTCTTAACCACAGGAATGTGCCGAGGATTTTTTTTTTCACTGAATTTAGTTAGACTAAGTAGCAGTATTCTAGCTATTCTAAGAACTACAACACCCTCTGTTGGGCAAAGAATTTTCATGCAGATACAGTAAACCAATTAATTTCAATGAACTGAAGCAACAACTTCAGTTTGAAGCATTCTTCCAAAGGCTGAGCTTGAGTGCATGATGTGCTCATATACAGCCGATACAAATGAGCTATATATAACTACAATGAAGTATAAATTCCTATTATTTGTTTTGGTGTGATGATAACATTCCATAAAGAGGAAGTAGGAATCCATCTTCTGATGAAAGAAAAGACTCATCTCAACTTAATTCTGAGGTTACTCATGACATCCTTTTCCCTGAGGTTTCTCATCTGATGGGTGCTTTTCCCAATACTGCCCAGCATCTCCTCTGAAAAAATAATTGTTCCCAACACGGTTGCTTCCTTTGAATTTGATCCTTGCATTCTTACCTATGTATTCTTAAAATGTCACAAGTATGTAATACTTTTGCAGATTGCATTGCAGACATAAATGTGTCACAGGCCCAAGGAACTCACAGACTTGCAGAAAAGGTATCAGTATGAAAGCAGATAGGATTTTCAGCTACCTCTATGAAAAGAGATGAAATAATGAATTTTCATCACAGATCTGAGGGACGAAATGTCACACAGGAAGAAATAGAACGTTGCAAGAATAAAAAAAGCAGTAACATTTAGATTAATGCTTAGGAGATAAAAAAATGGTTAAGGACGGAAAATTATAAAAAGGTAAGTATCATTAAATGTAAGTATTGTAGATGAAAAGGAGATGAGAACCAGTGTGTCAGGCTTTTAGAAAAGAGGAGTTTGAAACAGAAAACCTGTAAGAGTAAGAAAAAGAATTTAGGGAGCAAGACACTTAAATGGTTTTGAACCTCCTTAGAGAAGGAGGTTCCTGCCCCTCTAGTACAGACCACTTTCTGAGTATCTTTGTGTTCTCCTATGAGCAATCTGAACCACCTCATCATTCTGCATTTTCCAACACATTACCTGCTTGGAAACAAAACTTCCCTACTAAAACCAACTTTTTTCAATCTCTCCAAGATAAGAATTAAAGCTAGTCTAAATAATTTGATGGCACTTTCTGCAGGAAATAAGTCCTTTTAGAAGACTGGAACTTTCCTGTTCAATATTGACTAAATTATGCATATTTAATTCTTTTAACATTTCAATGCAATTAATATATTTCAATTCAGCTTTATTGAAATCAAACAATTCAGTCTTTTGCATCAAATAACTTTTTAGCTTGAAATGTAGTTCACATAACTAAAGTTGATGACTCTACATACCTCTGATGTTTTCTTCTGTGCGTTATCATTGCTAGGTAAACTCCACAATTAACCAGAGGGTATTGACAGCATAGTAAGTTATTAGCCCATTCATGTTGTACTGAGCTTGTCTGAGCCACTTCTTACTAATAATGCTAGAGATATAGTATTAGCATCACTGTGTTGGAACTTGACAGTCTTAATTTAATCATACTCCTAATAGTTTTAATAATTACAGGCTTTTTCTTGCTAATTACAATGTCATTTTTTTAATTTTTCTTCAAAAAATTTGCAGTCCATAATCCAAAGATGTTTGCTGTGAGCCACA